GCCATGTCTTCCGATGAGGAAGCAGAGGCTGAGGGCTCAGAGGTGGACTCGTCCATCACCCAAGCTGAAGTCACTGAGGTAGTCAAGAAGCTTCTCGGTGGCAAGGCACCGGGGGTGGATGAGATCTGCCCTGAGTACCTTAAGTCTCTGGATGTTGTTGGGCTGTCTTGGTTGACACGCCTCTGCAACATCGCATGGCGGTTGGGGACAGTGCCTCTGGACTGGCAGACCGGGGTGGTGGTCCCTCTTTTCAAGAAGGGGGACCGGAGGGCGTGTTCCAATTATAGGGGGATCACACTCCTCAGCCTCTCCGGGAAAGTCTATGCCAGGGTACTGGAGAGGAGAATTCGACCAGTAGTCGAACCTCGGATTCAGGAGGAACAACTTGTGCTTATTTGTTTTAATTTGTATTTACTTATATGATTTTTTTTGTGTATCTTACCTTTTCTAAGTTGTAATCTGTTGCTGTATTTGTTTGTTTTATGATTTTGTCATACTGCAAACCAAACTTTGCTTCCGGGACAATAAGGCTGAACTGAACTGTACTAAAGCACCATGAAAGTCTTTAAAATGCGTATCTAGCTGGTTTTACTTCCTGATATTATTATGCACTAATATACTGCCAGCCAGATAAATCATGCCTGTCTCTTTTGGTTATTAATTGCAATACAAGCTGACAGTGCAGTACTGCCAAATACAGTTGGCAGCATGTCTTTAAACATTATTTTGTCCTTATGTTTAATTCAAAAATCAATATTACACCAGTCCATAGCTTAGTGTCTTTGTAAAATCAGTTTAAAAGCTTAAACCCAGTAAAATTGTAACATATGAATGTTTTAATAAACAAAGCTGGAGGTAGAACTGTGTTCTCACCGTCACACCAAACGTACAGTATGCACCAATTTGTGATAGTCCATAATAGGAAACATTTATGTAGTCTAACAGTAAGAGGTTGTTGTAGTGATAAACAATGCCTGCATCGTCATATAATTTAATTTTGGTTTTATATTGGTGCTCCCTCTACAATTAGGGGTCATCAGCTGCAGCTCCTGTTCTCCCAGCTCACTGAAGAGGTGGGTGTCAGTCACTTTGCGCACTCGCTGGCTACAGATCTGTGAACAAAAGTTTGCATTGTAGGAGCTGAGGGCTGACGTCACTGCTGTCGAGGAGGAGAGCCTCTTCAATCTGTGACCAGAGAGCGACACATTCAGTCACACACTCCCACACGGAGTCACTTAGGCTGCTGACCGAATCTCCGTTTATCTCTCTCAACATCCCTAAAACTGCGCGCAACTCGGAAATATAGTTTCCCCCCATTCCCATTTTTTAAAAAGGAATACAAGATTTTCGACGATAAGGTGAGTTTAATTGCTAGTGTTTTACAGTTGGGAGTTTGCCACCGTGTAAGTCATTAACATCAGTGTGTTGGCTGTTTTACAGGTTTCTGTTGCTGCCGGTGCCACATTGAATTCAACAAAGTTAACGTCAAAGTAAATGCAGCGTTTTGGGAAGTAGCTGATCTAAAGGTTTGTTCAGAATATAACTAACTGTTGTCATGTTAGAATTACAAGGAGAGTGCAGTGACACGCGAGTTGAGCAACATGACTCCGGCAGCCGACTTGGCACACACGCTAATACGCACAGCCTTGTCATTGCGTTGCAGCGTGGATGTTGCCTTTGTTGCCAGCTGGTTCACTCTGCGGATGCAACGCTTGTCCAGAATGAACGGACGAGGCAGACAAGAAACTACAGCAATGTCATTTGTCAGAAATGATTCAGTTTTAAGCTCACAGCGCGTTTCTTGTAGGAGTGCATCATATTGGCTAAAAAGTAGTCTGGCTGTTTGTGATAACGGTTGTTATGGTTTTAAGCTTCGAGTGACAACATGTCATGAAACTGTCCAGTAACTAGTTACAGTGCGGCCGGGCTTTCTTAACGTCCCCAGCTTTCCCAATATTAAACAGTTTTCAGTGTTTCAGCCAGGCTGCCCCTCTGTCTTTTCTTTTTGTGGCTTCCTCTGGAAGGAAAACGCGGCTGACTTTGCAGCTGTGCTCTGGGTTGAAATGTATCCTGTGAAATTATGACAATACCCTCCATTTTTCTGCCTTCATATTAACAGCAAGACATTCGCCATCTTGGGCTATTTAAATTAATATTGTCTAATTTAATCGGTGTTTAGCTGTAACAAAATCCCGAGACTTTGGGGGAGAAAACATTGATTTCTGAGTTGAAAACAATATTTTAATCAAAGGGTTTTGATTTAAATTTTAGTGAGATATCAAATCTGATTGGGTTTGTTTATAAAATTGATTTTTGTATGATGACATGTCAGTTTTTAAACCTTGTAGTGGGACAGAATTTGTTTTTTTTTTTTTTTTTTTTTTGTCAAAGTTGTGTTCAAACTGGGCACATTTGTTATGGCCAAACTGAATCAGTTCATTCTGGTGCATCATATGGTTTTTATGCCGGCTGTGCTTAGATTTCCCTTAGAAAAGCATTTTTAAATGAAACACATAGTCTGTCTGACAGAGACAGACTGTCTCAAACAAAATTGCTTTTGTAAATTTAAAGTGCAGTGTTAAAGGGAATTGTGCTGAATGTTCCAACCTACTGTAACTGAAATCAGTCAAGATCAATGCTTGAGATAACTTAAACATCAGCGGGGGGTTTCACAGCAGACGTCTTGAATCATAGTAGGAAAAGCACAGGTGTTGCTTTCAGGTTTGCAAATGAGCTGTCACAGTGAAATAGCATGCACAATATCAGGGCACTGACGTGGCTACACAGGATTCAGCTGTTGTCAGTTTTAAACTTGGAGTTTTCCTACTGTGATTGTGAAAAAGGCCTATGGAGGAAACAAAATGTATGTTTATACATACATATAGGATCTGTGTCCACATTGGAAGGTAGAACTTGTTTTGATCATGCTAATTTAACTGGTGTCACTAAGTTTGTTTTGTCAGACTTCTTTTGTTTGCTACACAGGGGAGCAGTTTTGTCTTTACAGATATAATGATAGTAATGAACTAGTGTGTGCTCCTTGCACGCACAGTCTAAGTGAGCTGGCAGTAAACATATTCCTGATGAAGTTCATCATTTATATGGCTTCAGTAGCCAAGAGGCAAGATAAATCAGATCATAGCCTTGATGTCTTATGCATGCATGTGTTTGGAGCCAGTGAATCAAAACACAGGTAGAAGGTCACTAAACTTGCATCATATTTCTTCAGAATATTTGTCCTTGAAAATCCTGTGCAGAACTATTTAAGTGTTGTTTCCTATAGGAGCCATTTAATGTTCAGAAATTAAGAGCGCACAAAATTTGGCATTTGAATATTAAAAAATTACACAGTTTTGTTCTTCGGTGCTCCAAAAGCGAATGTGGCTTGTGGCTGGTAAATTACTTAAAACAGGACTTTTAAATGTTAGCATATTTGTTAGCAAATTTGTTTTTGACTTTGATTTATTGACTTGATTACTAACTCTTTAAAACTTGTGCTAAGGTAAAGGCTGCGTTAGGTATGCCAGATTTGTGTTATTCATTTGCTGGATTGATCACAATGCTAATCATTTCAAGTAGTGCTCACATTAAACAGGCTTGTGTTGTGTAACTCCTGATATGTTCTTACAGAAAATGAGAAGAGCTGTTTTTGTATGGGCCAAATGAAAGAAAAAAAAACGGGTCTTCTCATAATTGTGCTTTCACCCGTTTTCATCCCATCTCTTCTGTTTTCACCCTTTCCACAAGTTTGCACTCATTAATCACAGTGCTGGACTCCTGCTGAGAGCTGAACAGGTCCATCAATTTTTAGCCAGATCGCTGTGAGGAACAGTGCACAAGCAGAAATAAATCTATAGTCTTTATATGCAAGTCTTGAAGGTTAATTCTGTATAATTCAATGCAACCTCTTTGTCTGCTGTGATTGTTTTTAAACGTGCAAGACTTGACGGGAGTCCCCTTTTTGTAGGTCAGTGTGGACACTTCATGATTGGGTAAGCTTGGAAGGAGCGGCATGAGGGAGGTGGATTATTAGGAATATGTCAGGGAGATTATTCTTTTTCACTCATCTTCCTGGTCTATTTTCTCCTCGCCTGGAGATGCTTGTCAGGTGCTTTATTTGAACCAACAACGCTTCTGAGTTTGTAGTCTCCCTGCTGTGTTAATGAGACTGATGTTATAAATGCCAGTGGTATATCCTATTTGTTTAGCACTTTAGTATATCTTTGCATCCTCTGCTGCCAGGTAGATGCATAGATGTTGTTATAAACCATTCCACTCCTACATAAAGACATTGCATCAGTAGCCCCCTTTTTATTGATCCTCGTGCATTTAAAATCTGGTCGCTTCTCACTTCAGCTGCCCTAGGCATGCTGCCGTGTTTTAGAAGGGTTTTTAAATGTATATTCTTTTATTCAACTTTGTTTTGCTTGATTCATTGCTAGCAATGTTTGAATCAGCAAAGCTGCAAAAGCTAAGGCCTGGCAGACTAAACCCTGACACACAGTGCAGTCAGAGGCTTTGCATCTGCATGCACAGATTACCACAAGTCTGACTCAAAAAATGTTCATCTTCTTTTTTTGAAACTACAGACCTCGAATCATTATGGCTTCTCAGTAAAGTACCTAAGACCATTGTGTAGCCATATCTACAGTCAGTGTTTTAGTTATTCAAATGTAATGTGGATACTGGTACTGGACAGCATATTTATACTGGACCTATATCAACAAAATGTCCACTGTCTATATTTTCACCTCCCACTGTGCATAGCAACTAAGTACAATATAGTATAGTGAAGCATATAAAATGGCCTTGTTAATATTAAGGGAAAGATTGTTGTTGTGTTATAATATCTAAACTGGCCACTAGTAGGAGTTTGGATACGTAGGACACAAGTAAAGGCTTATGTGCTCATTCACTGTGTTAACCCACAAACTTTATCTTTTTGAATGTCACACAGCTTTTTGTGTTGCCGGTGAATGTTGCTATTGAATGTAGTGTTGCTAATGCCGAACGTTTCATATTACAGAACTTGTAAGAGACAGTGCTACTTTGTTAGAGCTAAGAGAGTGAGATGAAGAAAAGAAATAAAGATGCTGCAGGCCCTGCTGTAGCAAACAAAATGTTTACCCTGACCTCACTAGCAACCTGAGACCCTTAAATCATGTAATATAAGGACTGTGGACTAGGAAGAAAGAACCTGCTATTGGTACCAAGGTTACCTGTTATCACTCATGACTTGGTAAATGGCTTTCTTTTTGGAGGCCACTGTGATTACCTGTTCTTAAATGATGAAATGTTGCCAGACACAACTAGGTAACCTGAGATGGCTCATCGCACAAGTTTAGACTGTTGTAAACAGCCTATTATTAGAGACAAGAGGGTGACCTTTTTACTCTTGATATTGAATGAAACATTTGAGCGTAGGAGATGGTAATCTCTCTTACGCTGGTATTCGCACCACAGGGTGACACAAATGGAACTGTAAAGTGACCTGTGTATAGATGACACTCAGCAAGTGTTGCTGCTGTGAGAGCCTGGAGGTTAACACTTGTAACGATATGAGAGCACCACTGTTTACTTTTGAAATTTAAAGCTGGTTTTGAAAGTATTCTGGGATGCTGGGGGAGCGCCATGGAATTACACAGGGACATGCCAGTCATGGGCAGTTGTACGGCCAGAGGGCAAGGACTGATGTGGTTACCCACAGTTAGCAGGTGTTCTCGTGGAGGAAACCTTTTGTTGGTGGGTTTATGCTTCTGGTTCTCAGGTTGTTTTTGTGGGGAAAACTGTGTGTGTGTGTGTATTAGGTCCATGTTGTTCTGTCTTGTGTTCTTAATAAAAGTTGCTGCTTTCTCGGGGTCGTGCGGTGTACTGGGGCACGAGACTGCACATCAAAAAGACAACCTGACTGAATGTCATACCTGGCCCAAGTCCTTCAAATCCACTAACTTTCCACAGTATAGAGGAGGAGGATAGCAGCTCCGTACATCAGAGAACAAATGTGACAGAAGAAAGTGGCAGATCTGTTAATTCGATCCGGAGTCTTATTGTTTTTAAATGTTTATCCTTTTTGTCTATTCATACTGGGAAGGGAAATTCTGTTATGATGGATCACTGTTACAGAAAACTATTGCACCTGGCTGTCTATAGCCAGTAGCTGTTCACTCATCTGCACACATGTGCACTGGCAGTACAAGCCTGCAGCTCATACAGGGTCCTATCCTGTCATTTTGCTCCTAACCCGAGTAACACTTTGGAAATTTATAGTTTTAAATCCTGCTGAGGGGGATAAGGAGGGGGGAGTAAGGGAAGGCTTAGCTGAGGATGTACTATCTTCAGATCTTATTCCTGGCATGTATTGTGATTTGTTAATCTGACCACAATCTCACAGTGTACCATATCAACAGGGGTTTGTGGAGTGCCTCTACTTTTCCTTCATTACTATGCGAGTTATTGTCTCATTTTAGCCTGTTAAGTTTTTAGCCTGTCACTCTTTTGATACTACTAGCAAAGAACTTAACATCACCAAGAGGCGAAAGCTAATTGAACGTCCCACTGCAATACCAGCATGCACCAGTGGAGCTACACATCTGCCATTTTGGACTGAAAGTGGCTATCCAATTTATCAAACCTATGGAAGAACTTTAATAATACCACTAAAATGAACAAGAGTAAAACTAAATTTGCTTTGTTCTATTGTCATATATTTAACGGCCAATGAAAAATATAAATATGTATACTATTATAAGCATTTGGTTTTGTTTTTTTTTATTAATGAAAATGTGGGCACTGCATCTCATTTCATTCCTCTAGGGCTATCCCTAGATTTTTGAGATGGAACCTGCAAAATTCATATATATATATAT